TACTATTGAGGAAGGTTCATGTTAGACGCGTGAAAAATAGGTTCAAACAAGTGGTTGTTGCACTCATTTATGAACTTATTAATACGGTGAGCAGTAATCAAGTGGAATCAATAAAGTTGGTGGTTCTTGGTCTTGCTAACAATTACACACTCATTTGAAAAGCTGTAGTTCTCTTCTTTTAAAAATTATGAAACTATAACGTATTTTCTTTTTTTCTTCTTCCAAAATAACACGAAAGTTTGGAGTCAATGGGTGTTTGTGTTTGGTTAAAAATTGATTTGAATCGAAATTGAATTATCTTAAGTATATAAATATTTTTTTTTAGTTTTGGTTTCGATTTAATTCTTTGTACATTGATAATATTTAATTTTATTTGGTTTGTTAAAAACAAACTAAACAAAAAATGGAATCATCGATACTTATATACACATATTTTATACAATTTGATATATACACTATGCTGTTTGTATAAAATTTTTAAATACTCTGTATATTTTTTCATGAAAAAATTATTTATTTTTAATAGGCTAGTGAATTTTATACGTTAAGCCCTCTTTTATCAAAAATAAGTCACGAATTCGAACTCATTGGTTTATTCAAAGATGGAAAAATGATTAAATATGTCCCAAAATTATTTCAAAAGGTCTAGATATACCCTCCATTTAAAGTTTGACGCACTCATGTTTTCGTTATCCAACTTTTGAGATAGATATGCCCTTATGAGCGTTAGTTGGTCTACTGGACATATACCACTCATTTTTCATTTCTTTAAATGTCACATAAAATTGTCATGTTATTTTGACCTTATTACATGACATTTATATGAAAATTGATAGGGATCCATTATGCCCCTAAAAATTCGGACTCATTAACACCTAATTCAACACATAAATTGACTCCCTTTTAAATAAACTATCAGATCCATTTTCAATAAATTTGTTTAAAAATTTTATTATTTTGGTAAATCCCGAAAATGAGATATTGATTAATAAAAAATATGAAAAATATTATAAAATTAACATCACAAATAAATATATTAATCTTATATTCAACAATTTCAACAACTTTTTAAAATTTTTATTTTTTTGGGCAAATTCCGAAAATGAGTAATTTATTAAGAAAAAATATGAAAAAAAATATAGAATTAATGCCAAAAATTCACAAATGTATATAGTAACCTTAAATTCAATAATTTTTTATTTTTTTATGATAAATCCTGAAAATGTGTAATTGATTAATAAAAAATAGGAAAAATATGAAAAAAAACTCAAAATAAAAACATTTATTGAAATTGTTGAATATAATGTAACTATATTTATTTTTGAAATTTTGAAATTAATTTTATATTTTTTCATATTTTTCCTTATTTTTTTATTAATCAATTACTCATTTTTAAGATTTATTTAAAAAATTAAAAAATTATTGAAATTCTTAAATTTAAGGTTACTATATTATTTGTGAATTTTTTGGTGTAAATTATATAATTTTTTTTCATGTTTTTTTCTTTTTTATTATAAATTACTCATTTACGGAATTTGTTGAGAAAATAATAAAAATTAAAAAATTTATTGAAATTGTTAAATTTAAGGTTACTATATTTATTTGTGAATTTTTTGCATTAATTTTGTATTTTATCACATTTTTTATTAATCAATTACTCATTTTCAGGTTGTCGAAAAAATAAAAATAAAAAAAAATTGTTGAATATAAGTTATATTTATTTGTGAATTTTTTCCGTTAATTTTTCATTTTTATGATATTTTTTCTATTTTTTATCAATCAATTACTTATTTTTGAAATTTATCAAAAAAAATTAAACAAAAATGTTGAAAAAGGTTTGGGTGGTTTATTTAAAAGAGAGGTTTATCTATGGGTCGAATTAGATATTTATGGATCCAATTTTTTTGAGACATAATTGATCCCTTTTCATTTTCATATAAATATTATGTGGTAAGGTCAAAATGATATAATAATTTCATGTGATATTTACCTTTATATATTTTATGTATTTACTTTATTCAATTGATTAAAGTTTATACAAGTTAAAGTTTATTATTTTTTTGTGGTTCGAGAAAATGATGGCCACCGCAATAATAATTAATAACAAATTATAGGATGGAAAACATTTGTATTTATTGCCTCCATCACCATTGAGCTCCATTTCGTAGCTTTTTCTACCTTATTTACCATCTCCAATGGCATAATAAACCATCTCAATATAATGATTTGTATACAATTATTTTTTTAAAAAAAAGATAATGCAGTAATAATAGTCACAATTTTCTATTTTTACAAAATGTAAGAAGCTAAAGACCAAATCTAGAACCAAAATTCCAAGACTTCGAAAATTTTGAGGCTCTTTTAAAGCTCAAAAAGCTTATATTTAATTCAGAGCTATGTGTCATTTTCTTAGTGGCTTATAATGCCTTGTCACAAGTGTGTGAACTGCACACAAATTATATTTTTGACAATTGCTCCTATCAATTAAGGTGCTTAAGAGGCACACTTATAATGATGTAGGAGGGTTTGAGTGTCGAGTTTAAGTAAGCATTTGATCATACGATATCATATAGATATATATAGTGATATAGTATCACGATATCTTTATATATATAATTTTATATTGATTTCATCTCGTAATTTCATATTTTGAGATATGATTTTATATTCTTTAAAAATTATGATCTGGAATTATATGAGAATACCATATCATGATTTGAGATATTTAAATATAAAAATTGTTCATGAGTTTAAATTTTGTTAAAATAACCCTACACTTATATCTACTAACCATTTTTTTTACATCTAAATAAAATTTATAATGACATCATTACTTTTTAAAATTTATTATTCTCACCAACATAAAATTTATAATCCTCACCAATATATACTCACTTTAGCTCACAATTCTCGATTGTTGAGTAACAAAATCTTGAAGAGCCCGTGAAAAGTGTTTTATATTTACTCAGATATTTTGATGAGAAGTGGAAGATAGGTTGAAGTTAAATTGAAACAATTACTTAAGTGAAAACTAATAGATTTGGAATAATTTATTATGTGATTTTATAATTTTTTGTTTATTTGATAAGATTGAATAAATAGTTGTGGCTAATTTAATAGTTCTAGAACTTATGAAACTTTTATGTTTATACAAAATATACAACACTAAAATTTTATATCGCATGTCCAAACAAAACTCCAGTTTTATCTCATGATTTCATATTATGATATTATATCATGATTCCATATTATAATATCATATCACATAGCTAAACGGATCCTAAAAATTTGTATGTATATTTACCCAATAGAAGATGAACACAAATTACCTCATTGGAGTCAAAAAAAAAATATTATTCTTAATTCAAATCAAAGGCGAGAGTGAAAAAATTCAACAAATATATTTATCCTCTTCTTGAAGTTTCATAAAAAATAAATACATAAGGAAATTGTATTCATAATTTAATTTGTCTTTTCGTAATAATTATAGGAGTAATTTAATATACTTAGGGTATGTTTGGTAGGAAGGAAAATATTTTTCAATTTTCTCATGTTTGGTTAGGTCAAATGTTTTGGAAAATGTTTTTCAAATCAACTAATTTATCTCAAATTTAAAGAAAATGACTTACCTTCAAAATTTAAGGAAAATATTTTCCAAAACTCTCTTCCAACCTCTCCCTACCATGGCCACTCCACTCTACCAGCGTCCAACCCAACCCCTACCAGCCTCCAACCCACCCCTACCTCTAAAAGAAATTAAATATATTTTTAAAAAAATATTTTCAACTTTAAAATTTTATTTTTTTCGCCCCTACCCTCGAAACCTCTCTCCTCCCACTCACCCCCTACCAACCCCATCCCAAAATAAATAATTTAAGTTTGTTTTTTAAAAATATTTTCAACTTTAAAAATACTTTTTTTACCCCTACCCTCGCCTCCCCCTCCCCCCCCCCCCAAAACCAAAAAAAAATTTAAATTTGTTTTTTAAAAAATATTTTTAAACACAATTTTATTTTTTTCACCCCTACCCTCAAACCTTCCCCCTACCCCACCACCTCTCACCCCTATCACGAAAAAGATTTTAAGTTTGTATTTTTTTTAAAAAAAAATCAACTTCAAAAATTATTTTCTACCTCTAGTAAAAATAAAAGATATTTTTCAAAAATATTTTTCATTCAAAAATCAAATACTAAAATATATTTTACTCACCAACCAAACATAAAAAAAGAAATCAAATATTTACTTATTTTCTAGGAAAACATTTTCCTTCATACCAAGCACATCCTTAGTTATAGCTATACCTCATAGCTATACCTCATAGAGTGTACTGTAAATATGATTATTATTTTTTAATAATAGGGGGATGTTTAGTGTTTAATTCTAAAGTACATAGAAGGAATCCAAAATAGGGTCATATTACAGAAATATTTAGTGTAATTAACCCTATTATAAAAGATACACGGTAATGAGACAAGGTGGATGTAGGGTATGGAAGTAGTTCTCCTTTTGTGATATATTTATTGTTAAAGGACGAATAAAATGTTTAAGTGGTTGTTGAAATAATTGATATAGATTGAGATTAATTTGAGATGTTTGTCAAGAAAAATAAATAATATCCATTAATTAAGCAGAATGCCCTCTTTATAGTGAAAAATATAAAGTAGTAAACTTTTTCTTGGAGAAATTTAATATTTCAATAATTCATTGTAATCGCAAAATTAAAATTCTTTTGCTCTACTTCTATAGTTGTTCTTATGAACGAATAATTTTTTATAAATATATTTTTTTAATTTTCACAAGATAGAAATAAAATTAAATAAATATTATTCTATTCATCTTTTATTCGCAGAATTACGATGAGTTAGTTGTTGTGGCTAGTTCAAGTTGCAAGCCTGCTAGTGTATATCTAGAAGAGTTGTTACGTTTTTATTTTGCAGCGATAGGTTTAAGTAGCGAAATCAAACTTCAGAACTAAAGTAAAAAAATTAAAAGAAGCAAAGTGAGAGAGAAAAAAGCATTACAAGTGCAACAAATTACATTACATTAAACACGTGAAAAAACACATAACATTACACTATGAATGAAACCAAACATGCAACAAAAAGAAAAGAAAAAAAAATCACTCTTTTAATTTCTCACACTAGCCATAATACTAAAACCAAACAATATGCATGATACAAATTAAACTTCAACTAATATTAATCTTCATGGAAGTGGAAGACTTCCTGCACCACCACCAGCACCACCACCAACACCGCCACCAATGCCACCTAATCCTCCTAGACCACCTAGTCCACCACCCCCCATTCCTCCACCAAATCCAGCTCCACCACCAATTCCAGCACCAAATCCACCAACATTCCCACCTACTCCACTAACAACTCCACCAAAAGGCAATCCATTGCTTCCAATGCCACCAATACCTCCAGCGCCAACGAAAACATTCTTTTGGTCATAAAGACCATTGTCACTTGGCATGTCTCTTGCGGCTGTGGTATGAACTACTACCAAAGCAAGACAAAGAACAACTATGCACAACTTGTTTGCCATCACTTCCTATATTTTTTTTAATCCTATGCCTCTACACTTGATGAGTAGTGATGAAGTGGTGTTTCCATGAGTCTCTTTTTATAGGCAAAAAATGGGTTGGTGGAGGAATGAATACACACATTTAATGGAATTCAATGCCTCTATCTGTATGCATCTTTGCTTGTAGCTACTATTTACTGGAGTTGGAGAAAACCTTTACTTTGTTTCACAATGAAAAAAATATTTCCACACAAATGTTTTTCTCAATTTTTTATTTTTTTAATAAAATAAACTATTTTCTAACTTATTTTGAGTTTTAATAGGTAAAAAGAGAATATTATTATCTTAGATAAATTGGGGGTGATAGTAAAGGAAGTTGACACTTATGGAAAAGACATTTTTGAGATTTTCAAATTAACTAAAGAAATGTTTTTCAAATTTTTCTTCCGTAATAAACGCTCTCTTTATCTATATTGTTTGTCTTTTAAACTTTTGGACATCCTTAATCTCGAGGGGTTGTTTGGTAGAGTTTATTAGCAAAAATAATATACGTATTAGCTTTGTGTATTAGTTGTTCATTGTTTGGTATACTTTTTCTTGTTATGTATAATTAATATACACTCTATTGTATTAAAAATGTATTACTAATACCATTGATTTCAAGGTATTAGTAATGCAAAAGGATTTAATGCATGCATTAAAATGGTTAAAGACACAATTACTCCTCAAAAATATTTTTACTTTTTTTCACCACAATTGTGGTGGATATTTTTGTAAATAAATATTTTTATACAATGCCTACTATTTTATTGAGGAACTTTCATATATAGTCACTAAAAAATAGTCTAATTATTCTCTTTCATAGTTACAATTCGTTGATACATGTTATAGGGAGGAGAGAGATGAACAAAATTAGAAGGCAAAGAGTGGGAGAGAGGTGATTCGTATATGTACACCAGTTAGATAATTGTAGATGTATATCAGTTAGATAATTGTATATTCATTATATTCTGATGAATTATACATATACAAACGTGGTTAATTATACAAACTCAAAGTCAACCCACATAATTAAAGTATAATGTTAGTCGTGAATGATAATTATAGCAAACTATAACTAAAATGAGTAATTAAGTAGTATAAGTTTGCTTAACAGCGTAATTTTCCCATCAGAAAATAGTAATGGGGTAATTTTTTAATATCTTATTATTATCATATTTGGAAAAACTTATCCCACGAGTTAATTATATTATAGTGATAACATAAGTAATTCTATATACATAGTGAATCGATAAGTAATCTCAGGATAAGCTAAATCAAACGATCGTTTTAATTATAATTAAGAGTATTTATCTAGATTACTCTTTTCTCTTAAAGTTTCACTAGCTTCATAGCATATTTTTTTTATAAATAAAAAAGTATTTGAAACAAATACTTATTTTAGGGTGGGGAGGGTCTATTTGTTTTCTTTCTTTTGATTATTAAATTTTGAAGTTTGTTTTTAGTCATGTTTCAGAAAGGTGTATAGGTCAAAAGAAAGTATTGTATTTAAATAGATGGTCAAGTCAATTACTTAGAGTAGTTATTACTGGCCAACCGGCCTATCGATCCTCTCTGGAACCTACTTACATAATTCATTTTTATTTTACATGTGAGAAATATGTCAAAACATAATACTTGGATAAAGGAATAATTATAAAAGTTAGTAAATTTTATAATGTTAGGAGTTAATTACTTGATATTCTTATTTCTTTACAAAATTACAATAATTCTTTAAATTCGATAAAATTCAGATACATTTCAAATTATCCTGATTCATAGTGTCTCAACATATTGCTCCGACTAATACATCACATTAAGTGATATAACAAGAATAAAAAAAATATAAGAATTTTTTAAGGTTTTTTTTCAAAAGGCAGAAAATTTAAAAAATTTAATAAAATAAATTGTATATTTAAGTCATTTCTTGAATGATTGATGTATTTCAAATATTTGACGTGGGAATCACCGCGTCATCTCACACCACTTGTTTTTTTTTTCCTTCTAATTTTCTGTTTTTTTTTTTATCAAATTTCTTTAAAGATGTTCTCCAACTCCACTTTCCAATTTTTCAATTTCCAAATAAAATAAACAAAATATTAAACAAATAATGGTAAAATCAATTATTAATCACAAAAATTGGTTTAGGTTTAGCAAACATAAAAATCATATTTGTATTTTGTAGCTATAGGTCGTATAATTGTGTTTTATAATAAACTTTAGGTTTGCAAAGACTATCACTATGTATATTTCAATATGCATATACAAAAGAAACAATTGTATAATATATTTCGGTATGCGTATTCAAAAGAATCAATTATATCATTTGTGTTAGTGTAAAGCAAGAAAGAGAGAAAGACAAAAGATAACGGGCAGGGAAGATCAGTATTTGTATAATTATAAGTGCATTGGATAAAAATATATGTTTTTGAATTTGCATTTGCATTTGTATTTGTATTTGTATATACAATTTCTCCCGCGTTATACAAACACAAACGTAATTTATACATTTATGTATGTATAAAGTGAGAGTGGCGAGCGAGACCTAGGAGAGTGGCGAGCGAGATTCTTTGGGGAGAGAGAAAAACGATCAGATATGTATATATATAGTTTTCTTTCGCTTTATCTAAATACAAACACATTTTATACATTTGTTTGTATAAAGAGAGAGAGAGAGAGGCGAGGGAGAGATAGCGAAATAAGAAAATGAGAGTGACGAGCGAGAAATTCAAGGAGAGAGGATCCTTCGGGCCGGGGTGGCCCAATGATTTGAGTTTGGGATTTCCATGTTGGCAGTCTCAAGTTTGAAACTCCTTGCTAGCGAAAGCAAGGGGTTCATGGATCGAGCTCGTCGCCTGGTGCGGGTTACCTTTGCTATGTGATTTACGAACTATTAAATAGAAATGGAGGTTTCAGCTTGTGCACACCCTCAAGTGTAGTGGCTTCGGATTTTCCTTGTCATAATAAAAAAATTCAGAAAGAGACGAATCATAATAATTTTCTAGGTGTTTGGATTAATCAAATTATGATTATATTATTTAATTATAATTAATAATTTATTATTTTATAAAATTTTTCCTTTGCTTCACCCGCAGATCCATAAAAGGATTCACCATTCTCATGTCTCCGACTTCGAAATGACATTTTCTTTCACATCCAACAACTCAAAAGAGGTTATAAAATTGTTTCTTATGAACTTCAATTAATTTTTCAACAAACGTCTCATCAAGTCAAATTCTTATGTTTCAATATATCAAATCAAACATTATGTAAGAAATAATTTTAAAATAACTAATATAAATGTGAAGTAACTAATATGAACATTGCTAAAACACTATAGAAACGACCCCTTAATTCATTTACTGCCCTTAATTTGTGAAACTAACACCATAAAAACGATTTAAAAGGCATTTAAACATTTGAAATTTATGATTGGGTAGTGGGAAACAGTTGAACTCCAATGACATTTTCTTCTTCTGCAGAGATCAAAGAAATAAAAATGACAGCTAATGTAAGACCTTCAAAGGGTAGTAGTAAATGCTTTTGTCAGTAAGTTGCTGGCTATTAACTAAGATAATACAATTGCATCCACTTAATTCCTCCCTTCTTGTGCACCATGAATCCTTTGCTAATTACAACTCTTCCTATTTATCATGCCCCGATTACACTTCGATAGGTAAATCTAAATATCGAAAAATTTGATTGAATCTAATTATTTTGAAGTTTTAATTTTTTAGTTTGATATTAATATTTTTAAAAAATATTTTAATTTTTCAATTTGATATAACATCTTAAAATTTCAATGCAGTAAAGAATTAATTTTTTCTAAACATAGAAATATTGTATTATATATATCAACTAATAATTGAATCATTCATGAATAAAACAGATTTAAAACTCAGATAGTTGACTTTGAGTATTACTTTCCAAGAGAAGCCGGTAGAACATATTTTTGTCTACATCGTGCAAATTAAAGGAATCTATTTTCATCCTTTTTCCTCTTTAGCTATACGTTGGTGACACATGTTCTCGAGAAAGACAAATATATTTTTTAAGCACAATAACTATTCTATGGTGAGACCATCATCACTTAACATGATTTTGTTTTCATTTATTTTAGTTTACTCTGAAAATTGTTGTAAAAACATCAAATCAAATAAATTCAAACTATGTTAAATGATAAAATCAAATCGAATCAAATAAATTTTATTTAATATTTGATACACATTTTCACATAGTCCAAAATTAAAAAATTAAACCAAAATTTAATAAAAAGCGACTCAAAAACCAAATATCTTCCCCTAATTCAAACTGAACGTTTAAGTGGGTACCTACCAAAATCAAAACTCCTCTAAGCTTAATTTTTATTCATAAATCTAACAGCAATGAGCCAAAATTTTAGCCAAACATATTCAAATATAGGTATGAATTTAATTGGATTTTAACATATTTTTTTAATAATAATAGAATTTCAATACAAGTAGACATTGAATAGGATAATTTAAAAAAATTACTTGTATATAAATACGAATTTTTGTATACTGTTGCTAGTATTGTATATTCTACTGTTGGTTTGGGTCGAATATAGGGCTACGTAGCTATGTGGCTAATTGAAGGTGACCTATTATATGATTCAGTTAATGTTTCAATTGATGGATATATAAGACACCAACCACCTCATTGATATTATTACGCTTGGTTTGATTGTCGTAGAAAAATTCTTCATAAAATCATTAATATGAACTAGATTCTTTGGACCGATCCGGTCCAATTCATGATTTAGTGAGGTTGGATTATGATTTTGGTGTTCATTTAAAAATATGACTAATCTTGAATTTCTTAATTAAATAATATATTTCATTTGATTAATTATCCTTTTTAATATGATTTTATATTTTTTATCATTTATGACACACCTTCACACACACATATATGAAAGCACTACTAATTAACTTCTTAATATCATTAGATTGTATATTTATATACACTAATGATATAATACATTTATATTTAAAATAGTTATATATTCAACACGTGCATTGAAACATATTTATAATAATATGTACCCCTCATTTAAAAAAGAATGATCTAATTTTCCTTGGAACAGACTATAAGACAAGAAAGAGAACTTATTAATCTTATGATTTTAAATTAATGTTATGTCAAATATATTAAATGTTTTTTAATCTTGTAATCTTAAACATACCACATGAAAATTAAAATTAAAGTGTTACAAAAAAAAAGTATCATTTTTTGAAACAAATATAGACAACCAAAATTCAAATGTATTGAAATTGCTATTTTCTCTCTCTTATTAACAATGTTAAAATATATTATTATATTAAAAGTATTTTAGTAATTATGTCGAGGATCCAATGTCACTAACTATTTTTAGGGCCCGTTTGGATGAGCTTAATAAAAGCAATTTTAAAAAAGTATTTTTAAAAGTGCTGAAACTTATTTTTAAAATAAGCAGTTATGCGTTTGGATAAAAGTGTTGAAGTTGTTATGTCAAACGTGAAAAGGGAAAAATGGAAGAAAGAAATGTTAGGGTTATATGGGTAATTTGGAGATTGTATAAAAATATTAAGCACAAAAAGATAAAAATGTGGTCAACTTAAAACAACTTATAAGCTAAAAATAAAAAAGCACCCCTACCCCAGCTTTTAACTTTTGGCTTAAAATAAGTTTTTTTTAACTTAAAATAAGTTGTTTTGAGTATAGCCAAACAGCTAAATAAGTCAAAAACCAGCTTTTAAATCAGTTTAACCAGCTTTTAAGCTGAGCCAAACAGGCTCTTAGACTACCCGATTTCTTTCATACATTATTAGTACTATGTTTGTGGTGTCAGTTCCACCAAACCATAAGAAAATTTTTTCACAGAGATTACATTTCATTGAACATGGGAAAAATCATGTCACATTACAATATGGATGAAACCAAACATCAACAACGAAAAATAAGAAGAAGAAAAATCACTCTTTTCTCATACTAGTTAGTTATCAAACTTAACCATGATCAAACATGCATGAAACAAACTTAACTAATAAAGATAAGAATAAAACATGTCTTCATGGAAGTGGAAGACTTCCTGCACCACCACCACCAACATCGCCACCAATACCACCTAGTCCTCCTAGTCCACCACCCCCCATTCCTCCACCAAATCCAGCTCCACCACCAATTCCAGCACCAAATCCACCAACATTCCCACCTACTCCACTAACAACTCCACCAAAAGGCAAGCCATTGCTGCCAATGCCACCGATACCACCAGCGCCAACGAAAACATTCTTTTGGTCATAAAGACCATTGTCACTTGGCATGTCTCTTGATGCTGTGGCATGAACCACTACTAAAGCAAGACAAAGAATAACTATGCACAACTTGTTTGCCATCACTTCCTATATTTATTGCCTAAATAACTTTACTTTTCTTTATCCTATATATGCCTTTACACTTGATGAGTAGTGATGAAATATTGGTGTTTCCTTGAGTCTCTTTTTATAGGCACAAAATGAGTTGGTGGAGAATTAATACAAACATTTAAATACTTGAAAACAATTGTTCATCAGAGATCATATAGTAGAAATAAAACTGATAGCTAATGCTCTCTTGAGTGATCAGGAAGCACTACGATGAATTAGTGGTAATAAATTAAGACATTAATAAGGAGTGCTAAATTAGTCTTTACTTATCAGCATTACTTAAGTGTCATTAGCACTAATATCCCTAAGCGCTTTAGGGACTTGTACAAAAAATATTTATTGCCACTAAAAATTACATATTTAGCAATAATTAAGTAATTGTCGTTAATTAATTATCGGTAATGACCATTTTTAATAAGTGAAGACCCCTTCGAAGCATAGTAGTAAATGCTTTTTCCAGTAAGCTGTTGGCTTTTGTTAAGATATCGCATCGCATTCACTTAAAGCAAAAAATAACTTAAAAGTAAGTTTGATAAATTTTTAATTCTAATTCAAATAGATTCTTAATCCCTCCCTTCTTATGCAACATGAATTCTATGATAATTATGACTCTTCCTATCATGCTCCAACTACACAAACCTAACGAATTAAAACTGAGCGTTTAATTATATGGCGGGTACCTACCAAAAGCAAGACTCTTCCAAGGTTAATTTATTTTTTTCTTAAATCTAACAACCTAACATATTCATACATATGTATGGAGCTAGAATTTTAACAAAACATATTCATATCCATGTATATATGGATTTAGCTGAATATCAATACGAATATGAAACACTAAGAAGGATATCAAAAATATACAAAAAAAAAAGGAAAAAAGGACAAATGTATCATAAACTTTTATAAATAGAATCTAAATACCTTCTGTCATACTTTTAGCATACTAATGCCCCTGTGGTTTAAATGTTGAAGTGTATATAGCCTTTGAACTAACGAAAGAACACATGTCATAATGATAAAAACCTATCCGAAATTTATTTGAGTTTACCCATCATAAAAAGACCCACCCAACAAATTCAAAAACCCACCCAAATAACTTGAAACCCACACTCAAATTCCCAAAAATCTTCACTTTCATTAGCCATTTAATTCCCTAAATTAGACCTTATATCAAATTTCATGAGACATTTTAGTTTGAACGGAATCGCACAAAAAGGTCAAAAATAAATTTGGACGTCTGCAACGGCAAAAGAGAAGAAACCCATCGGGTATTGTACGTAGGAAAACTCATTTCTTTGATTCGAAATGATTTGTTATTGTTGATGAGTGAAAAGACTGAGTATCTTGCTTGAACTGTCATGTAAATAGACCTAGGTAAAGATTAAAGTGTTCAAGTTGACTGAGATTTCTGACAAACCTTAAATCTTCTCATCAATATAGACTTTAAAGTGCTCAATTAAAATCAATTTTATTTTTGAAATGGGCATATGAAGATTTTGGCTTATAATTTCGGTTGGATCTTAGTTATTTGGGTCGAGTTTTGAATTTGTTGGGTGGCTCTTTAATTGCGGATAAAAATTCAATAAATTTTGGGTAGGTCTTTAAGATTGAGACATGCATCTCTCCGTTAATATAAATGGTATATATACACTTCAAAAATTAGATGACAAGGATTTTAGTGTCCTTAAAATATAACAGAAGATAGTCAAATAATATTAGTGATAATTCAAAATATAATTTTTTTTCCAAAAAAATAATGATTAAAGATCAATTTAATATATACTGTTGCAAGTACCTTATATTCCACTGCTGCAAGTCGAATATGGGGTCACACCTATGTGGCTAATTGAACGTGACCTATTATATGATTCAATTAGATCTCGTTTTCATTAAGATTCAATAGTCTGAATATGAATAATCAAGATGTGATTATTATATCTAAACACTAAATAATTAAAATAGTTTATTTTTAAAAATTTGAATGTACATATATTATTTATACGTACATAATAAAAATACAAATCAAATAAAAATTAATGGTCTAACCCATCGGTAGTTCCTTAAATTTGACATAAAGTTTCACTTAGGCCTCATTTGTTTTCATTAAGATTAAGAGGTTATTAAGATTTGCACTAAAATTTGGATGTTTTGATCTGAATACATATCTGAATATTAAGATGTGGTCTCTAAATCTGATATTAAGATGTGGTCTCTAAGCCTATGTGACACTAGTTTGAAAAAAAAAGTCAACCAGTGTTAGGCCCACAAGATAGTGTCACGTAGGCCGAAAAGAGGTAGAAGTAAAATAAGTTCAGGGGGTAATAGGACCTTTATATAGTATAAGTGTGTCTCTAAGATTTCGGGCATAGGTTGAGGGGGTACTTGTGCATTATCCATTTATTATTTGATAACTTATCAAATGAGTCTGAATGTTGTTAAGAATCTCCGACAGATCTAATTCGTTTAGACCTCTTCAGACCCATTAAGATTTTTTTTTTTAAAAAATAAAACAAATGAACTTAATGAGCTAAATATGAATCATTTAGATTCAGACCTAAAAACCAAACGTACTTAATTGGCTGAATTGAATAATTAAAATTCAGATTTCCATTAATTGCCAACAAATGAGGCCTTAGACACCTTAACTGGGCAGTGTTCATATTAGACACCTAATATATAAAATTGTTGTGTCATTTTAACACTTTTTGCATACATGACTTAGTGAGTGTAATACACACATTGACCGCGCGTGAAAAACCTATTTAGTTGATTCTTTTCTTCTTCTTTCCATCTCCAGCCACCAGTTCTGAAACACAAACATCCAACCATGGTAAATCAAAATATTACCATAAGCAATTGAAAAATGATGGAAATTGTTTTAGAAATTTAGAAATATACTCATTTCAAGACTTACTTAGTAAATTAATTCATAAGATTCTTTCACAAAAGACTTAAATATTTACATAGAAGTAATTTTTCTTGTGAATCTGCTCATATGTTTTTCCAGAAGAAAGTTGGAGTTCGGGGGGGGGGGGGGGAGAGAACGGTGTGTGTATAAATATTTCTACAAAATGGGCGGGGTGGAGTGGGGGTATTTTCTGCAAATGGACTAGGGTGCTTGGAGAAGAAGGTTGTGGGGGTGGGAGTGGGCGTGAGAATTTTATTGGCTTAATTTTTCTTAAAAGTTATTGCAAAAATTCACATGTCATTAATTCATTGGTTATTTTTTAATTTTTACCCAAAATTTATTGTCTAAGAATTGTTTTTGACACAAATGAAAAACATCATCGTTTAATTTGTCACTTTATACATCATTCGCGAGTGTAATACACACCTCTTATATATATTTGTTGATTAGGAAAAAGTGTGAAAATGACACAACGATATCGTACATGAGATGTCTAAAATAAACATCGCACAATTGAGGTGTCTAACTGAAATTTCGTGCCAAGTTTAAGAGGCCACCGATGGGTTAAGATAAAATTTTAAAAATAGAATTATTATTTAATAAAAAATGAAACACTTATACTCTCTAGTGATGGTGCTGATAACAGTAATTATTGTTAGTATAGTAAATTAGTAATGATGGTGGTGACAGTTGTAACGGTGAAGGTGGTCGGTATTGTGATAACTATCATAATGGTGATGAATGGTAATAGTGTTGATAGTTATAATGATGAAATTGATTGATGTTAGTAGTTAACAGTGTTAATGGTGATAACCAAAGAAAGTGTAATGGTTGGTACTGTATTTGTGATAGTTGGTGGGTGTTCTACTTATGATGACGGAAGTCGATGGTAGTAGAGATTGGTCATGGTGGTGAAGTGGTTGATAGTTGTGGTGGATGTGGACTTGACAGTACTCTTGATGATAACTGAAGAGTGTATGACGTGATAGTTGGTAGCAGTGCTAATTGTGATGACATAATTTATTAGTAGTGGGAATTGACTATAGTGGTAATAGTGGTGGTGGCTAGGGAGATGGGGTAGTGGTGAAAATGGATATATATAATCATAATTATAGAGGAGGTAAGTGTGGTAGCAGCTGATAGTAATAGTTAGCAATGGTAGTGGTTAGTAGTAGTCATAGATAATAGCTAGTGGTTGACAATGGTGGTGATTGTGATGGCAGAGGTGGTTAGTGATGATGGTTGATAATTGTGGATAGAATAATGGTGAATATTATCCACACAAAAATACTTATTAATGATATTAAACTTTTTTTCTAAGTCTTAATGATTAAGTACATCTATAATAAAACTAAAGCAAATTAATTTTGTCGAAATATGTTTTATAGAATTGAACTCTTTATTTCATATTTGTTTTCTTACTGATTGAATGAAACTTATGCAATCGATCATGATGAAAATTAAATACTTCTCTCTTTTAAAAAAAATTACTGTTGCTTAGCCTTTTAGTAGATTCCGAAGAGCTCATGTTCCTCACCGTGGACCTCGGTCCTCAATGTCATCTCTAAATCCAGAGTTTCTTACTCTTTCTACTCACTTCCCACCCCTTTGAGCTCCTAAATCAGGTTACCCGAAATCCTTTAATCATTTATAATCAAACCCTATTTCAAGCAAAATATTCTTCTTCATTGGCAGATAAAGGGGCCGAATACACCCAAACATCCTATGCCAATCTTGCAAGGAATAAAAATTTTCAAATATCCAAAGTTTGCTCATCACCAATATCTCACAACACAATTTCATATTCTAATGAAGAAAATGAATTTCTAGCCCAAACTTGCGAGTGAACCATAATTGGTATGAAATCGGGAATGGAGAAGTTGTTGAAATTCTCCCTCCTATTTTAATGTGAAAACTGTGGAGATCAAGGTGTAACTCTAGATATGAGGAATAAAAAACCTCCATCATTACATCTATGTCTCTCATATTTTTCAACATATGTCAATTGTCGAAGAATTTTTCTTACAAATCTGAATATATTTACTTGAAAACTCATGAGAAAATTTATTGAAGCTCATGAAACTTAACATAGCTGATACTAGCTTTGTACCTGTGAGGTCATTGAAACCCCTGCTCTTATTTAATTTGTGAAAATGAACTATGATGGTTCATATGTTGAAAATTCAAGAGGTGGTGGAATAATGAACATTCCAACCTAGCACTATTCCAAGACAAATTAGAGGCCTTCTGAACATTGAAAAATGATAATTTCTCTCCTCAGAGTTGAAAAAGAAAAGTGAGTATGATTTTTTTATACCTCCTTAATTAGATGCTTCTGTTTGTGCTCATATATTATGCAAATCTCATTCAGAAGGCAAGGTAAAGTCCTCCTTCCTCTTTTGTAATTCACATTAATGGCAATGTTTTTTTGTTTTTTTTTTCTTAAAAAATTCATTTTAATGCTCCATTGTTAATCACACACTAGTCTTCTCTAATACCCCTCAATTTAGCGTATATATATATATTAGCTTTCATGTACTAAACTTTTCCATAATTGTCACTTCATGTTACTCTCCTTTGCCTTAAATATCCTCTTTACTATCCCTTGATGTAGTATGCATATCATGACTACATTGGATCTATAGTCTATCCTTTTTTCATGCAGAGATTTCAAAATTGTTTATGGATTGTAGATCTAATCCAATTTGTTATGTTCAGGAAGACCTCCGGTCACCAGCTATTTTTTGGACTACATAATTATTTTCATGTTATTTATGTTGTGTTTGTGGTTAGCTCGGCCAAACCACATCTTTTTACACCTTCTGGGCACCTAGATACTACTACTACATCAACCATATCAAAGTAAACAAAAGAAAGTAAAAGGTCACGAGACTTAAAAAGAAATTAAAGAAGTGCAATAACACTTACATTTCATTGAACATGGGAAAAATCACGTAACATTACAAATATGAATAAATCCAAACATCAACAACCAAAAAAAGAAAAACAAAATCACTCTTTTCTCACACTAGTAGCTAGCAAACTCGACATGCATGAAACAAACTTGAACTAATAAAGATAAGACTAAAACTTTAGATACATGATGAATAATCTGCTTTATGGAAGTGGAAGACTTCCTGCACCACCACCAGCACCACCACCAACACCGCCACCAACACCACCTAGTCCTCCTAGACTACCTAGTCCACCACCCCCCATTCCTCCACCAAATCCAGCTCCACCACCAATTCCAGCACCAAATCCACCAACATTCCCACCTACTCCACTAAAAACTCCACCAAAAGGCAATCCATTGCTTCCAATGCCACCGATACCTCCAGCGCCTCCGTAAACATTCTTTTGGTTAGAAAGACCATTATCACTTGGCACGTCTCTTGATGCTGTGGTATGAACCACTACTAAAGCAAGACAGAGGATAAGTATGGAAAACTTGTTTGCCATTTCTTCCTATTATTGCCTAAATAACCTTACTTTTCTTTATCTTATATGTGCCTTTACACTTGTTGAGTGATGAGTGATGAAGTGGTGCTTCCTTGAGTCTCTTTTTATAGGCAAAAAATGGGTTGGTGGAAGAATGAATACACACATTAAATGGAATTCAATGCCTCTATCTATATACATCTTGTAACCACTGGTTCAAGAAGTTTTGAAGAAAACCTTGTGTTTATTTGACAAAGGAAAAAAATATTTTCCCATTAAAATTCTTTCCTCAATTTTATTTTATATTTGGTATAATAAGTGACTATTTGACATATGATAGTGTAGAAGGTCATATTTTTTCAGAAGTGTTTATATATAGTATAGGCAAATATTGTTTGTGTAAGAGAAAACAATCACTATGAAGGTTCAGTCTATTTGTTTTGAAAGTCTGAATTTTAACCGTTCAAATCTTAATTATTAAGTCTGAAGAATAAGAACGAACGATTAGATCTATAACAAAATTTGTGTATCATTAAGTTGTTCACTTAAGAATCTATACAAAGATGAAATTTCACTGCTACTCTATCTACTTTTATCCATGACCCACAGTTATCAGCACTGTGAATCACCATCCACAACCATGCACCACTGTTGCCAATTATCACGGAGTTTGCCATATAAGTGAAAAGGTGTACAAAATTACAAAAAAATGAGTTTGGGAGGAGAGAGAGGGGGTAATAGGATCTTAGTTTAGTTAAGGTGTATCTATGAGATTTCTGCATAGTCTAGGGGGTACTTGTGCCTTATCCTCTATATTTGTTCATGGATATTTTCATTTTAAAATGATAATGCAGACTTATGAGCATTTTAATAATTTTTCAAACTTATGGTAATAAGTATTAATGCTTTTAAGTTTTGTTGATCTCCTCAAGTGCAGGGACCCGGTCCTCTGTAGAGTATGTTTGTCCAGGACAAAATTGTCACATCCCAAGACCATACCCTAGAAGTTAGGGTACAATCTCATTGTAACCGGCGTACTCGACCTCTCGGAGGTCTTATACAAGCCCTTTCATATCATTCATCGCATAAACATAGTGAAAAGTAGTGCGGAATTAAAAGTTTTCACAAAACATAATATAGTCTTCAAGATCTCTTTCATATAAAAGTAATAGGAAATACTAAGTCTCAAACTCATCATCTTAAGACACAAGAATACCTGGGATGCGGCCCATACTTCAAAATACGAATATAGAAATACTTAGTCTATTACAATACTTTGAATGAAAACATAAAAGACATTATAAGCCCTCGAGTCAAGTGAAGACATACTTCAACTTCTCTTGAACGATCTTCTAAGTCCAAGTCTTTACTTCTCAAAGCTCTTCACCTACCAAGAACTATATAGAAGATAGATAAAAGCATGGATTAGTACAACAACATGTACTAAGTATGACATTATGCATAGAAATCATGAAAACGTACTTTTATTGGAAATATGCATCTTTTCATTTAAAAATCATATTATAATCATAAGAACATTTAACAACTTGGAATCACATAAGATAACATTTAAACCAAAAATCATATTTTAGAGATCACCTTACAGTGAACCCTTGACGGTTACAGTGAATTATTTCACTGCACAGTGAAGATGCTTATTCTTCACTTAAGACACCCTTTATCATGTAATCTTCTTACTTAAAGCTATCCTAAGATTCACTTAAGCCACCAAAGAGAGATCGCATATACACCCTCTCTAGATGTGCCTAAACGACCCTTAGATTACTTATAATGAGTCACATACACACTTCAAGACATCAAATATAGCAACATACAGACACTATGACATTTCCTCATCAAAGACTATCAAAAAACTTACTTAAGTAGATCAAGAAGATAAAGTCCATGATTGACCTCTTCAAGACTACCTAAATAATCCTTAAAACTTCCTAAGTTCGGATCATGTCCATAATCAATATCTTCCCTAATTAGATTTATTCTTAAGACTCATCTAGGTAAGATACGAACTGACCATTCCTATGCCCCCTTCACACCTCAACTAGACAACCCTCAACTAATCTAGATAGGTACTTATTCCTTTTACATACTCCATAACATAAGTCATTAGTTCATAAAGACTCATAAATACTCATACATCACATGAAGGAAATTCAAGTAATGATCTTGGACAAGACCTAGGACTCTAACTAACACCTTCAAAGCCTATTGTGCAATGTCTAGATAGTGTCCCATACTACCACCTAAACTTCATAGAACTTCTATAGTACTAGTAAGTATCCCATGATGAGAATATGCAATAACCGACATAGACCATGATAGCTAGACATGGAATCCGGAGTTCTGACCTACTCCGATGAGGGTGTTCTACTTTCAAGGGTAGAACTAGGACACATCCCATGTAGGCACATGGTTAAGGAGTATGTAGGTCTTTTATGTACTTTAGTCTCATTTTCAAGTAGAGGTACATTGTACTCTAGTCTCATTCTCAAGTAGAGTTACTTCCCATTACATAATTGCTCAGTGCTAGCCTTGGTTCTCATAGAGTAATTGACATTAAAGGATCACATGAACAGAGTTCCTTATCTAGTTCATAACCCAATCACATTCACCCTACCGAGGAGGTCCACTAGGGCTACCTTCCAACGACGACTAAGATAGATCATTATGACTTTCCTAACGATTAATATGATGTTGTTCCAACAATTAACCTTAAGTCTACCATTTCTATACATGAAGGATACCATTACGACTCTCGACTTCAACATTCATAACATAACCTTTACCACGTACATGAACTTCTTAAAATCCTCTAGGGTCTCACATATCTTTCATTCGTACATTACAAGGGTGCACTAAGCCTACCTAGTCAAGACATATCATAATCTCTGTTTTATCAAAAAATTGGTTTCGAAAAGAGTTTGTTTTATTTTAGACTTTCTAGGAGTCGCCACTTAATTTTTAAGGAAAATTAAGAAAACTTTAATTTTCAAAAGACTTAACAGAAAAAATCGATTGAAAATATTAAAGGGGTTCGGGATTCCTATTAGCGTCTTAGGAAGGTGTTTAAAGCACCTAAGACGCTCCGCTAACTACGATTTTCCGGCGATTAACAATATTTGACTATTTTTGTTTTAACTTTTGCAATTCTTTTGTTTATAGAACTTTATTAGAAACTTACTTTAAGCGAATTCTCCAATTTTTTTTAGAATATTTTATTGAAGTTAAAACATTAACTCTAAGCGATTTCCAAACTTAAACATCTATCTTTCAAAGTTTCAAATATTTTTTACTTGAGCTTAATAAAACAAAGACGTTTGATGGGGTTGTAAATTCCTAATTCTAGACTAACAGCATTCAAGTAAAAAGCGTAAAGCAAATAATAAAGAGAGAGAGAGAGAGAGAGAGATTTGGGTCTAAGTTTTCGGTTTCTGTTCGCCTTGGCCGAAACTTGGACCCACCTGCTTTTGGATTTTTGACCCATTTTTCTTTCGTACCTGTCCTAATCTAAACATACAAAAATAAGAATAAAAGAGGGCTTAGGCCCATTACAAATAGAATGCAAAAATATAAAATAAAAAAAGGGTATTCTAATCCGACGCCTTCGAATTCCTTCAATCTTCTTGGAACTTTGATCCTCATATGCTTGCCTTATAGGTTTGACTCGATGATAAAATTATGAGTCTTTACGACTCTGTCGAAATGCAGAGAGAGAGAGTTCATGGAGAACTCGAGCAGATTTTACATGCCACATAAAGTAAGATAAGTGGTTAATATCTATGAGAGGAAATAAAATAATAAAAATACTAACATCCGTCTGACATTGTTAATTAAATAATACTTGAACAATAGATTAGAGGGAAGTTCATGATAAGTAGTAAGGGAATAGAAGAAAAAGGAAATACAACTCCAGGTGTAACATACATACAAATGTTTTGAGCACGACTCCAAGAATCACAATGTGGGCTAAAAATTATGTTTTACTTATTTATTTATTATTATCTTTTTAACAAGTTCCATTCTTTTAACTTTCCTATGAGTAAAGGTTTCTGCATGCGTGAACCACTTTGAAGGAAAATTAAGGCCAGATTTAATACTTTTAAACACACAGTGACCAAGATTGTTTGCACACAAACATAAAATTAACATTTAACAGGTAACTTAACACTTGTAAGCATATAACCCTTTTAGGCTTTGTCGATTCTAAACCCTTAGGCACATGTGAGAACAGATAACATACAACTCAAACTCAAAAATCAGATAGAAACGATGCTAAAAAAGAGACAACACAAAAAAAAGAAAGGCACGGCTAAGCATGAGAGAATGAGAGTTGCAGTTTTGAAAGGAAACAACTAAGCCTAAGACTTATTCAATATATACTGAAATAAAAGCATTCAAGTCGTCTTATGGTAAAAAAAATCATCACGCTCTACAAAATTAGACCGTTATTGAACGTAAAAGAAGGAACAAGCTCAGAACAAGAGAAGGCTAAGGCAAAAGATAAACCGTATTGGCTAAATGAAAAATACAGGCCCACTTGAACATCTATTAAAACCATTTCGGGGCGGAGGAAAAGAGAATCAAGACCCAAACAGAACTATCACAGAGCACACATACGAGGTAAAATGGCATCTAAGCTCAACTCATATACAAAGCGATGGAAACAACCATACTAGATAAATTTGGCAAGCCTTAAAGCGATATCGCGGCTAACATGTGAAAGAGATTAAAACGTCCACTTCACTTCAAAATAACACCGAACCAACACCAAAAAACTCACAGAGCGAACGATACAATCAACAAATATGATTTCTCATCTAGCAACGAAAACAGGACGCGACTTAACACATAACAACTAAATACACTTGACTCGCGGGGAAACAAAGGGACAACAGTCGACGAGCAGCGGCGTCTACAATGATTCGAACTAGTAACTCGAGAAGACGCTATTCGCGGCAGGGAATCATCGCGTCAAAAACAAACATGAACGAGGGTGTTCGGAAGGGGAAAAAACAGTAAGCAAACAGAAATGGAACAACATAACCACGAACTTTCAAACAGTTTCTGCAATGCATCGAGTCAACAACAGCTAAAACCAACCTAAACAATAAAGTGTAAACAACAGATACAACTAGAAGTCGAGAGTCAAGATGGGTGTTACCTGTTTACGAGCAGCAACTGGAACCGACGAGCAGGCTAAGCGACGACTTCATGACTTCGGAAACAAGCGTAAACCAACACTAGAACGACACACTAGGACGAAACAGTGAACGGCGAGAATAGAGTTGAGACCTTCGATCCTTCGGAAGTCTCTTCTTCGAAATTTCACACCTAAATATATACGATTCCTCTCTTCCTTACGCCCTCAAAAATAAAACAAGAAAGACAAACGGAATGCTTTTCAGAATTTTAGTCTTTGCTGATAAAGTTCTCACCCCAAATTTCCAAACAAAAAATTTTTCAACCCCTTCAACGTTTTCCGGAGGGGGTATTTATAGAGGAGATTAGGGTTCTTGAAGGTAAAAGGGCTGGAACGAAACCCAACTCAGGCCCATTCAAATTCAAAATCCCAAAACCCTCAAATCTTATACGAAACGATTCGAGTGGGAAGGGAGTTTGAGGCGAGGTGGAGGGTGAGGATGATTCTGTGGTACTAGCGAGCTATGTGGCGTGATCTCGGCACTACGGACAAAATCTTCAGCCTCACAGTTGCCAGCGTACGATCTGCAGAAAGATAAACGGCTCCAAAGAGATGTTGCGAGTTGCGTAGGAGAGAGGATGAGAGTGAGGGGGACGTGTGAGGGGGACGCGGGAGAGAGGGAGAGAGAGGGATAGAGACGCAAGGGGGAGAGAGCGTGGGGGGTCGTGTTTCCATTTTTAGGTCTATTAATTACAGCGTTTTTTCTGCTTACTGTAAGTCGTGTATGGGGTCTGAGGGAGGAAGAAAGGGGAAAGGGCTTCGTGTCGGGTCGGAGCGGGTTCTGGGTCGGGTTATAATTTTAAAGGGTTGGGTTGGATGAGAATATTTAATGGGTTGGGAGTTTGGGCTGTTCTTTACTTTAGTTTGGGCTGAGGGAAAAACGGGTGGGCCTGGGAATTAAGTAAAGGTAATGGACTGCTGGGAGAAGGAGAGAAATGGGCCGCCTGGATTCAGTTCTTCAAAAAGGATTAAAGGAAAAGAGTTAAATTTAATGGCCAATTGATTTAAAAACGAATTTGGTATAAATTTATTAACGAGCCTATTTATTTAGTAACATAACTATTTAAATTATAAAATAATGATTCAAAATATAGTCGTGATTTAAAGTAAACTAGTTTAATAGAATACTTTCTAAACTTAAGATATACATATATACATATACATATACATGTATATATATACATACATATATATATATATATATTATATTTTTTCCGCAAGATTTATAAAACTAATTAACTTAAACTATTTGAAAAATTCACGAAGTTCGATAATTAATTTATACCAGCGTGGGTCAAAAATTGGGTGTGAACAACTGTCCCTCATTTTACTTGGATTGATGCAAGCAATTCGAGGAAAATGAAATTGACCGAACCAATTTTGGCCAACCTCATTCGCTTTAAAGGAAGGATTCGACAAAGGGATTAGGAATTATGGCCGAACCCTTGAAACGGGTTTCCTACATATCTCAGGCTATATGGGAATTCAGGCCACTTGTAGTTCGATCAGCTTGATTTATCGCATGATTTTGGAAGAATCATAAGCCACCTCGACACCGAATTATGAAGGTGCCGAAATGCTCGGGGAATAGAATCCGAGAGCGAATGTTGGAATACAGCTGAGTTTCAACATTGAATTTGCCTACATATTCTTAAACTTTTCGGAATCAGGCTGTGTGTAGTTCGACTCGATCAGTGGAAAAGGATATCTATTATGCCAGATAACCTTCGGTTCTGGACAAATGACAAATTAAACGAGTATGCAAAAGAGGCTTGTAACTTCTTAACAATGAACGTGGAGCTCTTCACATCCATAGGTAAGAACTTACACGGACATAATTTCCAAAGCTCTTGGCGCATTGTCACTCAGATTGAAAACTTGCTTCCGATAAATCGATACTTCCGGATGCGAGACTGAAACTGACAGAACTAAAGGAGGACCGACATGCCTCGAGAGGGTGGTTCGATTGTGGTGGAAGTCGCTCCTCTGCTCGCGTCCTAAGAGTTTGACATTCCTCTTCGGACTATGTCCCAGTTCGCTGCTAAGAAAAGTTCCACGTTGTGCTGCATCCTTTTTGATGTAGTCCGCACCTGTGGTTTTTTGGAGAATTCATCCTTTTGGATGTCTCGACAAAGACTGAGATGAAACTCGTCAGCTTAAAGAATGCAATTAGGGTGGGAGATAGTGTCTTTTTACTATGTCGACACTCCATCGTTCTCCTCAATATTCGACGTTGACTCGATCGATCTGATATCTAGCAAATAAATCTTACGCCTTGTGCTTTGTAAATAAAATCTTTAGTGCACTCTTCGTTTGACGATAAAATAAATAAATAAATATTGATGCGATATTGATGTCTCTTTTGTCGTTATCTTTGATGCTCTTCTTAATGTTTTCTTTTATCGAAATAAAGAATGTGGTTGAGGTCGATGGATAAATACTGCTCTTTCTTTCTCCGTGTATGTCCTCTTGTGGGGCATGAATATATTCCCGCGATACGTAAATTCCCGCGAGATATGAATCTTCTCGCGATGCATAACTTTCAGCGAGGAATAAAATCTTCTCGCAATGCGCAAATTTCGACGAGGCATAAATCCTTCTCATCGTGTATAATTGTTGACTCGCAATGCATGATTTTTGCAATGCATGACTTTTCAACGAGGCATGAATTCTTCTCGTGATGCATAAATTCCAGCGAGGTATGAAGTCTTCTCGCGATGTATAAATTTCAGCGAGGTATGAAGTCTTCTCGTCGTGCATAATTAATGACTCGCGATGCATGATTTCCGCGATGCATGATTTTCAACGAGGCATGGATTCTTCTCGTGATGCATAAATTCCAGCGAGGTATGAAGTCTTCTCGCGATGTATAAATTTTGACGAGGCATGAAATCTTCTCGTTGTGCATAATTGATGACTCGCGATGCATGATTTCCGCGATGCATGATTTTCTGCAATGCATGATTTTCCACAATGCATGATTCCGCGATGCATGATTCCGCTATGCATGATTCCGCCTTCTCGCGATGTATAAATTTTGACGAGGCATGAAATCTTCTCATCGTGCATAATTAATGACTCGCGATGCATGATTTCTGCGATGCATGATTTTCAACGAGGCATGGATTCTTCTCGTGATGCACAACTTCCAGCGATGCATGATTCCGTGATGCATGATTCCGCTATGCATGATTCCGCGATGCATGATTCCGCTATGCATGAATATTTATATCGCCCCCGTGGATAGTAACGACTAGACGACCTCCAAATAATATATTGACTTGATTGATAATGATAAAATAATAATTGCATAACTGTCTCTTCTGAGGTAATGCATTGTCTTGATCGACAATAATCATCTTGCTTTGATAAAGCAATGCAAATAGCGTCTTCTATAGAAATCGTGAAATCTTCGCTGAGATTCCTATTTGATTCACCTTTGAATATGGCCAGGCACTTTGTAAATTTCATATATTGGGGAATGGCTTGAAATAAACAAACACATTCACAAGCATCTTGGCATAAACGATATGAAATGCTTCTTGCTTTCAATAAAATCACTGGCTTTGGAGATAGTTTTCTCCTTCTCCGTATTCATCCGTCGGAAGAATTCGGTCGATTTCGAAGCAAAGCTATAAACCTGCATCCACAGAAAAATTGTCAGTTTTAAACATACTGACCTGTGTCGATCCCTTCGGTTGTTTGCTCCTTGTCTTGATATCTCCGGTTGATTTCCAGATTTCCCGACTCTTGATAGATAAGAAAATATCTTATGCCAAAACAGATGAAATATAAAAGGGAAATTTTTAAGAGAAAGAAGAAATTTTTAAGAAATAGTATCTCGAAAAAGTCACTGCCAAGTCATGTCATTTAAGGCTTAACGAACTTCTTTGAGTCCGACGCTTGTTGAATGAATTTCAGAGGCATTCCGGACTTGTAGGGAAGACCCATGATGAAATTTTGAGGCCATCCTCAAAATTTCTGTCCCAGTTTAGTATTTTGCTCATCTTTCCATTGTAACCGAAAAGATCTCGGAATTTTTGAGATCTTCTCAAAAATTCTGTCCCAGTCGCAAATTCGAAATGTCTTTAGTTTGATCCGCTGAAGAGAAGGTTCCTTCTGGAGAATTTTTGAGTCCCTCTCAAAAATTCTATCCCAGTTTCTATTGTAGAAGGGGAAAATAGTATTTACGAGACATATGACCGAGTCCTTGTGGAGCCTACGTATCCCGTTGAGGCAGGAATCAAGTCAAACGTAGTTCTCCTTAAAGGTTAACAAGAATAAAATTTACAAAGAAACCGACCGAGGCCGACAAAGGCCTCCTACGTATCTCATTCTTGAGAATTCAGGTCGAACGTAGTTCAGATACAAAAAAACAATAAAGAGGGTAAATGGGATGACCGAAGCCGACATAGGCCGCCTACGTATCTCATTCTCGAGAATTCAGGTCAGACGTAGTTCGTTACAAGAGGGATAATAATTCAAATTGAACAAATACAAGCAAACAGAACGATTACAAGTAAATAACAGAAAATGCAAAACAAAACTTCAAGCGTAATATCTCTTGACAGCATCTGAGTTGATAGGCTTGGGCCATACAACACCATCCATCTCTGACAGGACCAAAGCACCACCCGATAGTACTTTATGAACCATGTACAGACCTTGCCAGTTTGGTGCAAACTTTCCTTTGTACTCGTCTTGATGAGGAAAAATACGCTTAAGGACCAACTGACCAACTTCAAAATTTCTGGCTCTTACTCTTTTGTGAAAAGTGCGAGTCATTCTCTGTCTGTACAACTGGCCATGGCAAACAGCGATCATTCTCTTCTCATCAATCAAAGCTAGTTGATCAATCCGTTTGCTAACCCACTCAGCGTTGCTTAACTCAGCTTCTTGGATGATCCTTTGTGACGGTATCTCGACTTCAATAGGTACGACTGCTTCGGTTCCATATACTAGCAAGTATGGAGTAGCCCCAGTCGATGTTCTGACGGTTGTTCGATAACCTAGTAGAGCATATGGCAACATTTCATGCCAACCTCGCTGCTTCTCAATCATTTTCCTCAGAATCTTTTTGATGTTCTTGTTGGCGGCCTCTACGGCTCCGTTCATTTGAGGGCGATAAGCGGTTGACCTTCGGTGAATAATCTTAAATTGTTCACATATCTCTTTCATCAGATGACTGTTGAGATTTGCACCGTTATCAGTAATGATGGATTCTGGAACTCTGAATCTGCATATCAAATTGTTGCGGACAAAATCAACCACCACTTTCTTGGTTACCGACTTGTAAGAGGCTGCTTCCACCCACTTGGTGAAATAATCAATGGCAACCAAAATGAATCTATGCCCATTGGAAGCGGTTGGCTCTATAGGACCAATGACATCCATTCCCCAAGCTACAAATGGCCAAGGTGAACTCATAGCATTAAGTTCGTGAGGCGGCACCCGTATCAAATCGCCGTGCACTTGACATTTGTGGCATTTTTGCACGAATTTGCAACAGTCGTTCTCCATAGTCATCCAGAAATAACCGGCTCGAAGAACCTTTCTTGCTAAAGTAAGCCCGTTCATGTGTGTACCACAAACTCCAGCATGCATCTGTTCAATAAGTCTCACAGCTTCAGAAGCGTCTACACATCTTAAAAGACCCAGATCTGGAGTTCTCCTATACAGGACTTCTCCATTCAGAAAGAAATTGAGGGCCATACGACGTATCGACTTCTTCTGATTAGATGTAGTGTCTTCTGGATATGCTCCAGACTCCAAGTACTTCTTTATGTCGAAATACCAAGGCAAACCATCTGGTTCTGATTCAACATGTGAACAATGGACTGGATGTTCCTTCAAGTCTATATCCAATGGGTCGATGTAATCAGTATCCGGGTGTTTGATCATTGAAGCGATGGTGGCAAGAGCATCAGCTAATTCATTCTGTATTCTGGGAGTATGTCTGAATTCGATCTTGCGGAACCTTTTGCACAGATTTTGTACGTACTGTACGTAAGGTACAATCTTCGGGTTCTTCACAGCCCATTCTCTTTGAACCTGATGAATTAAGAGGTCTGAATCTCCAATAACCAGTAACTCGTAAACGTTCATGTCAACGGCCATTTTCAAGCCGAGAATGCAAGCTTCGTACTCAGCCATGTTGTTTGTGCAGTTGAATCGCAGTTTGGCTGCCATAGGATAGTGTTGACCAGATTCTGATACCAAGACTGCTCCAACACCTTTACCCTGGTGATTCGCCGCTCCATCAAAGAATAATCTCCAACCTGGATAAGCTTCAGAGATATCTTCACCCACAAATGACACTTCTTCATCATGAAAATATGTCTTGAGAGGTTCATACTCTTCGTCAACGGGATTTTCCGCAGGATGATCAGCCAAAGCTTGTGCCTTTATTGCTTTCTGAGTCACATACACGATGTCAAACTCACTCAACAGCATTTGCCATTTAGCTAACTTCCCGGTCGGCATCGCTTTCTGGAAAATATACTTCAATGGATCCATTCTGGAGACAAGATATGTAGTATACGATGACAAAAAGTGTCTCAGCTTCTGGGCAAGCCACGTCAGAGCACAGCATGTTCTCTCTAGCAAAGTGTAGCGAGACTCGTACGGAGTAAATTTCTTGCTGATGTAGTAGATAGCCCTTTCCTTCTTCCCTGTCTCATCATGTTGACCCAGTACACATCCAAATGCACTATCTGAAACCGACAAATACAGTAGCAAAGGACTCCCTTCTCGTGGAGGAACCAATACTGGTGGATTAGACAAGTAGCTCTTGATAGCGTCGAAAGCGGTCTGGCACTCCTCAATCCACTTAGTTGGGGCGTCTTTCTTCAACAACTTGAAAATGGGCTCACATACCACTGTTGATTGTGCTATAAACCGGCTGATATAGTTTAACCTCCCCAAGAAACTCATCACTTCTTTTCTCGTCTTCGGCGGAGGCAACTCTTGAATTGCTTTAATCTTGGAAGGGTCGAGCTCAATACCTTTTCTGCTGACTATAAACCCCAACAACTTCCCAGCTGGGACTCCAAAAGCACATTTGGCGGGGTTTAGCTTCAAGTTGTACCGATGCAAACGTTCAAAGAATTTTCTCAGGTGCGTCAAATGATCCGAACTCTCGCGGGATTTGATTATGACGTCGTCCACGTACACTTCAATTTCCTTGTGAATCATGTCATGAAATATAGTCGTCATGGCTCTCATGTAAGTGGCACCGGCGTTTTTGAGGCCGAACAGCATCACCCTGTAGTGATATACCCCCAAAGGGGTAATGAAGGCCGTTTTCTCTGCATCTTCTTCGTCCATCAAAATCTGGTGATAACCTGCGTAACAATCCACAAATGACTGCATCTCATGTTTGGCACAGTTGTCAATCAAAATATGGATATTCGGCAACGGGAAATTATCCTTTGGACTAGCCTTGTTGAGATCTCTGTAATCGACACAAATCCTGATTTTTCCATCTTTCTTGGCGATCGGAACGACATTGGCCAGCCAGGTTGGGTATTGCGTTACTTCTACCAGTCGAGACTCTATCTGCTTGGTGATTTCTTCCTTAATCTTCAAACTCAATTCAGGCTTGAATTTCCGAGTCTTTTGTTTCACCGGTTCGAATCCTGGTTGATAGGAAGCTTATGAGATACGACATCGGTACTCAACCCTTGCATGTCAACGACTTCCCAAACGAACACATCCCTGTATTCGGCAAGCAGATGAACCAGGCTCTCCTTATGAGTCTCATTCAGGTGGGTGCTGATCTTAACCTCTTTGACACATTCTGAATCTCCCAAATTCACCGTTTCTGTCTCCTCCAGACTCGGTTTATGTAGATTCTCGAACTGTCGAAATTCTTCTGCAACATGGTCTGGTTCCCCACTTTCTTCGTAGTCGTCAACCTCATCGTCATTTGCCTCATTTTGCTTGTTTAGCTCATGACATGACGTGACATTGGCAGGCTTGTAACTTACGTTACTGAAATCATAAACAGACAAAATTAGAAAAGTAACATATAACAAGCAATTTAATAAACAAAGTCAAAATAAGGAGGCTTTCATTTAAATCAAACAAAATGCGAACTTGGGTCTCGGGCCTCTTCTGGACGACCACCGATTTTACTATGCATGAAATAAGTCCTTTCTACCCAAGAGTCCGGGACATTAGGATTGGCGTAGAAGTCCAATTCTGCAACATCTCCCCTGGTTCCACATCACGAATGCCAGCTGGGTCGACCTCCTCCTCAATAACAGCGTTAATCTCCCTGAAAAGGCCACAGATTCCTTCCCCGTTGTCTTCAGGCTCGACATGCTCCTGGACCGGAAAGGATTGATAGAGAGGCGGGATTGGCTTAGTAAACTCTTGGTGCTTTTTCCTCTTTATCTTCAAATCATCATCTGTAGGGATGTACCCCAAACCATACTTTGATCCTGTAGTAAGGACCGGAACTGGCTCGATGATCCCCTGTGCATTCCTTCCTAATCCAAAACCTGGTTCGAATCCGCTCTGTAGAATCACCATGGCGATCATTCTGTACACGGCCGGCATGGGAGTTTGTGGGGCCAAGCCCCCATCGGTGGCATTTACCAACTCTACCGTGTAAAAATCCAAATTTTGCGGTGTTTCGTCTAAGATTGGCACCTGCTTGCCTGAGTGGCCCTTTTCACCCTGAATAACCAGTTCTTCATTTTTCCACACCAGTTTCATCATTTGGTGGAGAGTGGAGGGGACGGATCCAGCCATGTGAATGAATTGCCTACCCAAAAGGAGGTTATAGCTGGTGTCGATATCCAACACCTGGAATTTTGCCTCGAACTCCATGGGGCCCATTTGGATGGTCAGGTTTACAGCTCCCAACGTGTCTCTCTGCACACCGTCGAATGCTCTCACATTGACCTGATTTTGCTCCAACTTTCCGAAGTCAAACCTCAGCTGCTTCAGTGTGGACAAGGGGCATATGTTCAGGCCAGATCCATCGTCTATCAAAACACGGTTGACGATCTTTCCGCGGCATATCACGGTGATGTGTAGAGCTTTGTTTTGGCCCTTCCCTTCGGCCGGCAGTTCATCATCGCAGAAGCTGATGCGGTGTCCCTGAATGACTCGGTGAATCATAGCAGCTACATTGTCGCTGCTCGTACCTGAGGGCACATACGTGTTATCCAAGGCTTTCATCAAAGCCTGTCTGTGTGACCAGGAGCTCATCAATAGGGCCCACAATGAAATCTGGGCTGGAGTCTTCTCCAAGTGTTTGACAATGGAGTAGTCCTTGGGCTGCATTCTCCTCCAGAACTCCTGAGCTTCTGCTTCGCTGATCGGTTTCTTGGTATGATCTTTCTTTTGTCCTCCGAGAGCAAGCTCGTCAGGAGTGTAACATCTTCCAGATCTGGTCATGACTTGAGCCACGACCGTTTCAATAACAAACTTGGGCTTGGCGAGAGTCTTTGTGGGCACCAAGGCAACAGCCTTTGCAGGTGCCAGAATGACAAACTCTCCCTTTTCCCTGACGCTCAAAGAAGCGACAGCCTTTTCCAAGTCTTCCTGAACAACAGGAGTAATTCTCTTGGCTTCACGCCCGTCTTCGTCAATTTCTATCATGTTGGCGTTTCATCCCCCATGATTTGGCAATGGATTCGTGTTGACATTTGGCGCCGCAGGCTGGAGGGAGACCACTTCCTAGTCAATCAAGTCCTGGATCTTGTGCTTGAGATTGATACAGTCTTCTGTATCATGTCCAACACTGTTGGAATGATAAGCGCACCTCTGCTCCGGTCTATAGAATCTGGAATTGACATCCACGGGCTTGGGCCCCACGAGATGGATGTATCCGACCGCAAACAATCTTTCGAACAACTTGGTTCTGCTTTCAGCCAACACGGTGAAGCTTCTAAAGGGCTTCTTCTCAAACCTGGGGCGGGGGGAATTATACCCGCTCTGTTGAGGGGGAGGGACTTGTTGGTAATTGTGGGCATTTGGGCGTGGAGCTTGGGTTCTGGGGTAGGGCTTTGTTTGGTAGTTTGGCATTGGAGCTTGGTAATTTGGATGGGAGCTTTGATATGCTGGGGTTTGTATTTGATATGCAGGAGAAGGCGCTCGATAACTTGGTTGTACATTAGCGCAGCTGGGAGCGACATTGTGATAAGGGGGAGGGACTTGATAAGCTTGGGGGTAGTTTGGGTATACGGAGGGAAAGTTTTGGGAAATTTGGGGTGGGTTCTGATACGACAATATATGGGGATCTAGATAAGTGAGGGCAGCATTGTAGTGGCGGGAATGATTTGATTGTGGACGGTAGGCTTGATGAGGCTTTGATGGAGGGTTGGAGCGGCCTTGGGGACGTGGTAAGCTTCTAGGGGCCTTTCTTCCTCCGTGTGAGATAGCGTTAACCTCCTCTCTTTTCTTCCTTACCAGTCCGGAAGACCCAAGCGATGCAGACACCCGGGCTATCTTTCCCGACTTCAGGCCATCTTCGATAGTCTCACCTACCTTGACTATCTCGGCGAACTTGGCGCCGATTAATAAGATGACTCTGTCATAATACTCGGGCTCCTGCACCCGTATGAACACCTCTACAATCTCTTTCTCTGTCATCGGAGGCCTCACCCTCGCTGCCTCCTTCCTCCATTTGTACGCGAACTCTCGATAGCTTTCTGTGGGTTTCTACTTCATCTTCTCCAAGGAGTACCGATCAGGGACTATCTTGACGTTGTATGCAAATCTGTCAATGAAATCCTTAGCCAGTGCGCTCCAACTGGGCCACTGTCGAGTCTCATGTGACGTGAACCACTCCAGGGCCTCACCACATAGGATTCAGCTGAACAACCTCATCAGCAACGCTTCGTCTTTGCCAACTCCCACGAGGTGGTCACAGTACGCTCTTAGGTGTGCCATGGGGTTGCCCACCCCTCCGAAAGTATCAAACTTTGGGATCTTGAACCCTTCAGGTAGGTTCAAGTCTAGGTGGATGCATAGTTCTGCGTAGCTTAACCCGGCTACGTCTGGAGTACATTGCAATTCTCTCATTGCCCTCTTGATCTCCTCCTTTATGTCTACCTTCGCTTGTTCCCTCGCCCTCCACTCTCTTTCTTGCTCCTCATAATGGTCCAACTCGGAGCCGTGCACCTCATGCTCGGCCGGGACAGGGACTTGGAAAGTGGTTCTTTTGGGGAGGGGTGGAGCTATGGAAGGGCTTGGGACGTTCTGTGCGGTTTGATAGTTTTGTGGATAATTTTAGGGATTGGTATTTTGGTTTAAGTGGGGATGCGGTGTTTGGGAATTGAAGGCGGCAGGATTTTGGGGTAGTGGGGCTGCTTGAGTATTTTGGGGATGTGGTGGCATTTGTGGAGGATTGTTTGGAAGTGGTGAGGGAGTTTGATAGGAGACTGAGGCGTATTGGGGATTTTGGGTGGTCATATCTATCCCGGACGGGTTGTGCACGGGTGTCGATGGACGGTGTTGAGTAGGATCCGCGTTGGACGAGGGGAAGTACGTAGGAGGTCTTGCATCGAGAAAGTTAGGGCCAAACCCCGGTGGAGGCGTATCTTGCCTTTGCTGCATTTCTACCCTCAGATCTGCTATCTGTTGCATTAACTGCGCAATAAGCTCATTCTACTCTGCCGCGGTAGGCTGAGCCACCACGACGTCCGTGAGGCTGACTTTTCTTTGTCGTCTCCCATGTCTGTATTTGCGTTTGGTCCGGGGAAGGAATCTGCGGGACCTTTTGATTTGGTGAAGTAGGGGTGATCTGCCAGCTTTATCGACACAGATCAGTAAAAGGTACCTGAGAGGTAAAAACAACTCAAAGGCAAATTTGTTAGTGCATATCCAGAGTATAAAATGCATAATATCGCACATAAAACAGATAAACATACAAGTCGCTTTGTTTGAGGATATCTTAACCCACGAATGAGGAAGGAAATATATTTTGAACAAACAGGAATTTGTTTGTTTTGACATTATTTCGGTAAAGTTGAATCACGTTGAGCTATGGTCTTCTTGCAGCTATCGTGCGATGCCCGTTGATCTTATCTTCGTATCTCCGAAACATGGAGGAGAATGAAAATTTTCTGTGATAGGGGCCGGGCCGGGAAGGCTGCCTACGTATCTCACGGGGAGAATTTAGGCCCAACGTAGTTCGGATTTTAGGATGGAAAATTTTCATTCATTCTTTCATTGTGATTACAAGGGAATTGAAAAACAACATTGAAATTTCTAGAAGACAACTTTTGGCGATTTCTTGTCTTGTGGCTGCGTCATTCCTTTCCTTTCAGACAGTCGGAAATGGAGGCTTGTAGACGATTTCTTCTTCATCATCTCCCTCAATTACCTCACAACTGAGGCCACTATTATCTGCTCCCTGATCACGGGCAAGGTATTTTCCACCCTTTAAGTTGCTATGGGTCGCCAATTCCTCGTCGAGTGCCGCACTTCTGGCCGACAACACGGCAGTCTCAATATCTATCTTCGCTTCTCTCGCCTTTCCTTCGTGTATCTCCAAACGAAGCAAGTTCAACCTTTTCCTTAGGCTTTCAGTTTCCATTTCAACCTCCTTCTTTCTTCTCATCTGCGACGCCAGATCTTCATCCAAAGTCGTGACCGCAGCTTTGTAGATTGTCGTGGTCATTTCTACCTTGAGTCCTTCCTCTTTAACCTTCTGAATCTCTCGAGTGACCCGCTCGATCTTTCTTCACAATTCCTCCTTAGTGAGCTCCGTCTGGACGTTCTTGCCTTTATCCATAGCGATGATTCAACTTTCCTGAGATGATAGAACGGTATTTAGGATTTATGGTATGGGAGATGGATTTTTCGTGAGAAACTTGAGACTTGGGAATTTGGTCGAACATTTGGAATAGTGACTTCTGTGTACTCTTTGGAATTTTGGCTAGGAGTGGGTCTATGATATCCTCATTCAAAGCAACATAACACACAAACATTTAAACAAATATATCGTGTCCTAAACATGCATGTGACCCTTTTGTGCCAAGGGTAGGCCTAGCGATCTGAAGGATGTATTGCGCCATTTAATAAGTAATATTACCCACGAAACAAATTTCACTAGATGTCATAGCGTTCATTACACAACCAAAATCAAACGGGATACATCTTGGGAAGGGGATGTAGTGCAAATACATATATAAAATAAATCCCACGCAGGGGAGTCAAAAGGTCGATGATCCAACTCCTCTTCTGGCCTTCTCCACTTCTTCTCGGATAATGCACTTGCGTGTGAACACGTATGGCTCAGCGAATGCAGCTTTCGAAGATGTTGGTACGGCTCGTAAGGTGTTCATCTGCTCATCCAGAATAGTGTCCAAACGCGTTAGACAAGTCCTTGTGTCAGCTAATTCTTGTGACGTCACCGCCAAAAGTCTCTGATTTTCTAATTCCTGGAGTTGGTACGCTTGCTCCTTTTGTTGAAATTCCTGTTCTTTCTTATGAAATTCCTGCTCCCTTCGGTCCCACTCTTGCTGAAAATGGTACGCATTAATCTGGAGCCTTGTCTCCACGTCTTCGATTTTCCGACCCGTGCGTGGTGTTGGATCCACTACACCATGCAAAACATTATGCAACCATGTCTTGTATTCGTCAATATACCCAGCTCCATACCTGTCTTCGGTAATCTCCCACTTCATGTTGACACGTCCGGCCCATTCCTGGAGGATAATTTTAGCGAAAGGTATCTTGTCCTTCTCGTTGTAATCGACTATGAAAGAGTTGGCATCTCCTTGGACGGGTATGATTTGGACTTTCCCAAATTGCCGCATCACTCTCGTCGGGTTGTAAGGACGCAACCCTCTGATGCCGGGAAGGACTAAAAATGGGAGTTTGGCCCCTTGTGCTGCTACCATCTGGGATTTGAAGCTCGGTAATACCCACTGTATATCTCCTTCTTTCAAATCATAAAATACCCTTGCCCACGCATCCCTGGTGGTGTGAATTGGAAATTTACGGATGCTCAAGTAGAACTCATAATTATCGAGAGGACTTGTTTGACTCGGTTCGGCCGACTCCCATGGCTGGAGGTTGTCTCTTTTACATAAATGTTCTGTCAACCACCATTGGAGTAAGATATAGCAACCTTGGAAAAACGAGAACCCGTTCTTGCACAGACTCAAGGATCGATAAATTTCGGACAAGATGACTGGGGCCAAGCAGTAGTATTTCTTTTCTTCAGACTTTCTGCCGACTCCTCTGAACATGGCATTTGCTACCATTACTACCCGTGTGTCGATCTTTTTTCCTTCGTCTTTAGGGAACACCATAGTTCCCAAAAGACATGCAGAGAAAGCGATAGCTTGAGTTTGCCTACAAGTACTGTGATCATGAAATTCATCCGGGAACAGTCTAAAATAATTGTCGTGCCCCCACCTCTCGAAAAACCTCATTAGTGGAATGTTGTGAGTCGCTACCCAATTCGCATTCACTAAGGATAATATGTCTCTTAGTTCAGCCTCGGTTGGCCTATCTGGCAGGAGAATGTGATGATCGGGAGGTTTTATCTTTTGCCACATGTCCCAATCGAGTCAAGGCAGTCTTTGATCTATTCTAATGTGGGTGTTATTTCGACGTCTCCAAATTGAAAGACCATCTTCTTATCG